ACTGCAGAATATTTATTTCATTCAAAGATTCATTCATTTGTTTATTTGTTTCCCCGTATCCAAACAACAATTTCTTTGCATCAAACAATCATTTTTCTCTGTGTACCTATAGCTGCAACAAGTCAGTTTTAAAAAGACTTAAATCTTAAGTCTTAAGTCAATTCTAAAATCAAAATGATTTAAACCTTAAGTCAATTCTAAGATAAAGTTCAAATGATTTAAGTATTAAGTCTTTGAATTAAATCATTTTCTTTCAAGTCAAGTCATTTTCGCAAATTCTTAAATCAATATAAAGTGATTTAAGTCATCTTATGACTTAATTCCTTTTGTTAGTCGTTTTTTATGACTTAAGTCTATATTTTTTATTTAAATCGTGATCTAAGAGTTAAGTCAATAAAATGACTTGAATCAAAAATTGAGATTTAAATCAAAATAATTACCCTTAAGTCAATACAACGATTTTTTAAATGTTAATAATAATTTTATGGTATTAATGATTAGGGTGGAGCGAAATTTTTTTTTCCTTAGCCTGGGGGTGAAATTTGTAGCCTATAAAAAAAGAAAATTTTTGAAAAAAAAAAGTTTTACCCAACGTCTTGAGGTGGCCCACTGATTTTTTAAATTAAATTTAAGTTAAAATTCTTTTGAATAAAAAAAAATTTTTTGGCTTGTAATCTTCAAATTTATCTAAAAATAAACAAATTTGATTGTGTTCAACTCGAAATTCGCTCTATTGCCTCAGAAAAGCATGTTACTATTTTGTAATTTTTTTTTAAACAACAATAATGACCACAACAATTTTTTTAACTTCATAACTGTTAATTAGCAAGAAAGAGGACACTCCGCAGTTTCCGGAACAATTTTGAAATTTTTTTTTATTCAAAAGAATTTTAACTTAAATTTAATTTAAAAAATAAGTGGGCCACCTCAAGACGTTGAGTAAATTTTTTTTTTTTAATTTTCTTTTATTATAGGCTACAAATTCCACCCCCAGGCTAAGGAACAAAAAAAAATTTTTTTTTCGCTCCACCCTATTAATGATACTGATATTATTAATCTATTGTAGATACAGATGATAATTATTAATAAACCACTATGTTAAGAATTTAAAACGATTTATTTTCAGAACACTTACAAACAAAATAAAAACTTAAAACACATTTTTTGAGTATATAGTAGACAATCAAAATAAAAACTTAAACCACCTTTTTTAGTCTACTAAATACAGGGAGGCTACTTTTTTATATACATAAATGGGTAACTTGTAAACGGTAATAGATTCAAACTCTGTTAAAATAGATAACTACGCAGGCATAACACGACGAATGTTGGCAAACAAAATAACAAAATTATAAATCCGCATTTTTTTTCATTTATTTTAAACAGGACATTTTTTAATGTAGCCGTTAAACGGTTCCGAAAAGCTAACTTTACCACTAGCGGTAGCAATTGTAGGTAGGAAATTAAAGGAGTTTTTGATCTGCTGCCGCGTGAACCCCTGGCAGTTCAAAAGAAAATGCCGCTGTTAAAAATTTATAAAAAAATATTTAAAAAATCTGACTTAAATATTTTCTAAAAAGACCTTTTTAAATTAACCTTTTTAAATTACTTAAATAATTTACCGACTTATATAAAGACTTAAATCTTTTTTTGACTTAAATCGTTTCTATATGACTTAAATCGTATGTACTGATTTAAGCCTTTTATTAATGACTTAAGTTTTTTCTATTTTGAAAAAAATATTTAAGTCACAAATCATTTTGAAAATTACTTAAATTTTAAGTCTTAAGTCAGTTTTAGAGAAATGACTTATTACCAAATGACTTAAGTCATTAAAACGATTTAAATCAAAAAAACGATTTAAGTTTTCTGAGAGCTTGCAGCTCTGCCTATATGTATTAATTTCAAAAAAACTACATAAATAATAACAACTTGTAAACACCAAAATTTAAGTATATTTACAGGTCTGCCATTTTTTATTATATTTCTTAAGAAACACAATTAATTTAGCTTAACTTTATTCAAACAGTTTGAATCAAACTAAACATGTGCCTATACCTAGGTAAAAAGTACCTTTTCTCAATAATAAAATATTTAATATACCTATTATGTATTATTATTAATAATACATATTATATTAAATATTTCTCTCAATAATAATACGTATTATTTTTAGCACTACGGTTTTTGTATTGTTTATCTTTTACAGAAAGAAAGGAAGGCATTCTATAAAGCAGACTTAGTTGTAATTTTTTTGACATGCTAATTTCGTCTTAATAATGAGAATACAACATATGATTTTTTGGATACAAAGGTCTTAAGGTATCTATTTGAAGAGTTTGATAAATAAATAACAGTAGGCCGTGACAGCAAATTCAGCGGTGCCAATGTAGTAAAAAATAAAACATTGTATTTTAATTAACATATTAATACTTTATTACAAATTGTTAATTTGTTATTATAATGGCAAAATTAAGGTTTAAAACTCTATTTGTGTTTCAGAAATTTAAAATGACAATTTTAAAAAGTGTTAAAAAATATTATTATTATACTGTAATAATTAATTTTTAAGCCATCAAGATGATCCTCTTTGGTTGCTCGAATTTAAACACGAATTTTTGAAAGAATATAGAAAATATATGTTATACCCGGACAACATTCGTGATATTCATACGAACATCATGTCGTGATTTTCACAAATTTTATTCATACTGATATCATACGGAAGTCACCGCGTGATAAATGAAAATCATACGAACGTCACGTCGTGATTTTCACAAATTTTATTCATACGGACATCATCTGGATGTCACTGCGTGAAAAATGAAAATCATGTCGTGATTTTTTATGCCATCTCTGTTTGCGATTGACCGATGGCACAAAAAATCATGTCGTGATTTTTTATGCCAACGGTGTTTGGATAATCATTTTTGCGGTACGTTCGTACACTAAGAGAAAAATTATGTTGAATCAACAGTTTTTGTGGTTAAATACATTCAATATTTTCTTGGATTTAAATTAACTATATATGGTTAATTTAACCAAAAAAATATTGAATGTTAAAGTGTTGATTCAATTGTTAACATACTTTTACTTTCAATGTACGAATGTAGCGCAAAAATAAATATCCAAACACCGATGGCATAAAAAATCATGACGTGATTTTTTATGAACAAACACCGATGGCATAAAAAATCATATCGTGATTTTTTATGCCATCGGTGTTTGGATATTTATTTTTGCGCAACATTCGTACATTGAGAGAAAAAGTATACATACATATATATTGAATAAACAGTTTTTGTGGTTAAAAAAAATTCAATATTTTTTTGGATTAAAATTATTAGTTAATAAGAAAATATTAAATGTATTTGACCGCAAAAACTGATAATTCAATTGTTAAAACAGTTTTTCTTTCATTGTACAAATGTGGCGCAAAAATAAAATTCTAAACATGTCGGTGCACCGATGGCATAAACAATCATGTCGTGATTTTTTATGCCCAAACACCGATAGCATAAAAAATCATGTCGTGATGTTTTAGGCCATCGGTCAATCTCAAACAGTGATGGCATAAAAAATCACGACATGATTTTCATTTCTCACGCAGTGACATCCGGATGATGTCCGTATGAATAAAATTTGTGAAAATCACGACGTGACGTTCATATGATTTTCATTTATCACGCGGTGACTTCCGTATAATATCAGTATGAATAAAATTTGTGAAAATCACGACATAATGTTCGTTTGAATATCAAGAATGTTGTCCGGGTTCAATTAAAAAAGATATTAATAACGTTCACGTTTTGTTAAACATTGGAATATCTTTTTTAATTGAACCCGGACAACATTCGTGATATTCAAACAACGTTTTATAAATTTATAAATTATAACGGTGTACTGTGAATAACAAACTAGGTTTTAAATTCGCAGTTCGCAGGGCTCATACGCATGCGCAAATTTTGCAAATATCACACCGTGAGTTCTACATGATATCGCTGTGATGAAGCATGTGTATGCACTCAGGATATCACAGCGTGATAAAAAAAATCACGTTGTGATATCATCATGACTTCACCAGGAAATCCCGATTGTTGTCCGGGTAACACTTGTGAAGAAGTGGTATTTTCCATAGATTATTTTAAAAATTTGTTTCCAAACTTAAGAAACAAAATAGGATTTTGTTTACAGCTTAAAAATTGATTATTTAGTTTATTTTTTATGGAAATTTCATGAGAGAGCTTGTGAAATACAAAATAAAAAAAGGCATATGACACATGTAACTTTAAAAAATATTTTCTTGGAATCTGTGCTGGAAAAAAATCTTACATTGTTTGTGAATGTGTCTGATGCCTCACACAATCAAATATTAAATTTTAAAGACATTCTATGGAAACTTTTCAAATGTAGATACTAACTTAATTTAGAATATAAAAAAAAACATAAGGGACCTAGTATCCCAAATTAAGTTTTACAGAAGAAGCAATTGAAGTTCACATGGAATAGGTGTTTATGTAGTAATATTTGACTTCAAAAATTAATCGTTATGTCAATTTTTTAGATAAACAAATTCTATCTGGACCTTTCAAAATATCACTCTACTTAAAATAAGAATCTTAAAATCAGTTTTTGGACACTTAAGTCTATTCAAATCCAAGCTGGACTAAATGTAAACACAATCCTCCGAATCGACCAATAAGAGCTCACAATCCGAGTCAGACCATCAGAATTGACCAATAGAAACGAGTTATAACGCGTCTGGGCGTTTTTGTTTAGTCCAGCTTGGATTTGAATAGACATTAGGTCCATTTTCTGGGATCACTTTACATCGTATATTGTATTAGCATTAAACTGTCAGATACGCCTAATTATTTGTATTTAAATATCAAGATGGGACTTGTGGATCATGGTAATATGTATTACCTTAAATATCCATATCTATAGCTTGCTGTGTGGGATATTGTGTTCTGTGTGTGGGATGGTAAGTAGGTACATACCTGAACAAAGAATATAAAATGTTTAAAAGAAGTGTTTAAATGGGCTTCTTCTCCTAATTGCACAACTTCACTAAAATGTTGGTGGTATATGTGTGCATACACTCTAAATAATCTTTTTAAGATGGTCTTGGCAATGGTAAGAAAATTTTTTGGAAAAGGAACACCTAAAATAAAGTAAAATTTGTATTTATAAAAAAAGTTAAGTGAAGCAATAGACATAAACCAACAAACCATAACATATGAAATTAGGAAAGTTTTCTTTGATGATTGCAAATGCATTGCACAATAAACAAATTATCCAACAACTAAATAAAACAATAAACAAATATTTACCTATTTTGGAAGGAAATAGCATTTCATCATCCAATTGATCTTGAACCCAAGTCATTAAATAATCAATATACTTGGGTGCTGAACATTTTATTGGCTTTTTAACAGTGTGACCATCAGCCCAATGGTACTCATATTTAGGACCAGCTGACATTATCGAACAGCTATCTTCAGTGCAGAATTCAGTTATTGTGCCATAAAGCATATTTATTTGATTAAAAAAGTCTACAGCTACAAAAAGAAAATAATTATGATTATTTTTTAAAACTATTAAGCCTTCTTACTGTTCACTGCTACCCATTCATTAAGATCTTCCCCTTCAGGCAGCATAACCGCTAATCGGAGATTACCAGAGCCCAATGTAGCAGCAGCATGTTTCATCAACTCATACTGATGTGTACCCTCAGGTATATTTTTTTTAGGCTTAAAGGTTTTTGAAGAACGACTTCCACTAAAACAAACAAACATCGAATCACCTAATTCGCATTTAATGCATATTTAAATGGGTATTTATGGAACATAGGATAAAAATAGATTGGTAATGAAAATGAAAAACTTCTACTTACAAAAGGAAGCTCATTTTTCAGGTATCAACGCTTAAAATCACAAAACAATTATCACGGTTTAAAATTTTTTGTACAACAATTTTATAAACAATACACAACAATAGATTGTTTGTCAATGACCTTAGCAAATATTAAAAAATGTTTTCACCCATGCGAAAAATATACATGAAAGATAGCCAACATAAAAAGTAAATCAAAAGAAAGTTTTCCTATTCCTTTATTGGGTATTTTTTGTTCTTAGGTTTGTTAACCTGTGATTTTGACGTTTTGATAGTAGTAATCTGTGGTAGTAATGTTTGACATTTAAAATTTTATTTATATTTGTGATTGTGTGTGATATAAAATGGCAACAAAATCTGTAGCAACTGCGACTGTAAGGGCCGTTCAAAGAAAATTACTTCCCACAAGGGCAGCCCTAGTTTTGGTAAACAAGTGAATATTTTTTAATCAGCAATTACATAACCTGTACTTTTTAGACTCCATCAGCTGTTAGTAGGATAAAAACGATATTAAAAGATAAAAATGAATATGTAAGTGCAATTAAAATAAAATATACGGATATTAATTTGTTATTATTAGATAGGTCTGAAAATTGGTGTACGACAAAGAGGTTGTAATGGTTTGTCATACACATTGGATTATGCACTAAAAAAAGGTAAGGGTAATTTTTAACAAAGGGGAAAACTTTTAAGCAATTTTGAATATTACCAAAAAATAAATAAACCCTTTGTTGGTTTTTTAAAATTGAATTTGAGATGGTGTTAAAGTTTGTTATTTTTTTGAACTATCTAAAACACCTTAACTGCATGCTCCCTCAGTATTACTGTTACACATTAATGTGACTAGCGTCTAGAGGCACCGAATTATCTTGGCTCCCTGGCTCCTAGACATGCGCGTTTTATAGAAATGTACTCAAACTCAACAACACAACCCAACCGACCCCGCCCCATTGGGCCCCCCGCCCCATTGAGCAAAAAACCCAACTAAAATGGGCAAATTTATGTTACGATAAAAATAAAACACTTTTTAATTACATAAATTTGCCCATTTTAGTTGGGTTTTTTGCTCAATGGGGCGGGGGGGCCCAATGGGGCGGGGTCGGTTGGGTTGTGTTGTTGAGTTTGAGTACATTTCTATAAAACGCGCATGTCTAGGAGCCAGGGAGCCAAGATAATTCGGTGCCTCTAGACGCTAGTATTAATGTGTATATGCCTATATGTATTTTTTATCAATTACTACTAAGGAACTGCTATTTAAGTTTTTATATTTTGACTAAATACCCAGGTGGGTAGTAGTACCCACCCCTTTCACCGCCCCTGCCAAAACCACTAGTATTGACCCACCTGGGTATTTAGTCAAAATATAAAAAACTTAAAGTTTTAAACTAAAATTGTTGAAGAAGCCAAAGAGCCTGTTTAAAAAACTACCATTTTTCTTAAAGCACTGTGTTGTTGCTTTTGGAAAATTGCTATATAGGTACATCATATTGTTCTTTTATATGAAAAAATTGTATTATTTATAATATATATATTTTTTTTAGAAAAATTGGATGAAGAGGTAGTTCAAGATGGAGTTAAGGTATTTATTGACAAAAAAGCCCAACTTACCCTATTAGGTATGCAAAATTTTAAAGAAAAAAATACAGAGTTGACACTAACCCTTTTTAGGCACAGAAATGGATTACGTAGAGAACCAACTTAGCTCAGAATTTGTGTTTAACAATCCAAATATTAAAGGAACATGTGGATGTGGAGAATCTTTTAGTGTATAGTAGGTACCAATTTTAATAGTCAATTGTAAATTTATTTATTGCATAAAAATATAAATTAAAAGTATAAAATAGTATATAAATTAATTAAATCCTAAAATTAAAAATTTAAAACTTTCAAAATTAAAACATTCTATAATAATTTTGGTTGTTGCTTCAACTTTGATATGTCCAACAGTTTGGGATTGGCATCCTGCAGTCTAGTAAGTACTTTGGGTTTATTGCCTGGGAAATTTTTATCTAAAACCTAATAATGTAGCTCATATTATGGATTATTTTAATTTTTACCTTTATCTTCAATTAAATTGTATTTTTTCATATATTGCAATGAAGCAATAGAAAATTCTGGCCTATCAGAATTTAAAGTTGGTCCTGCAGCATTACTGATGGGTTTCTCATTTGGTTTGTGAGATATTTTTGCTAAATGTTCATCTGGAAGATATTTCATTAAAAGCTGTTTAACAGCAAAACTTACTTCTTTTGGGCTATAGTTCTTACTATCATCTGAACTAAAAATAATGCCTTTAAAATAAAAATAAAATTATTGAACAATTAAAAAAATACCCAGTAGAATTAACCGATTCTTCCGCTTGCGGTGATAGTGAAACGCCAATGCTTTTTAAATGTTTTAAAGTTGCTTCTTTGACTTTATTCATTGTTTTTGTTTTCGTTTTCTCCGACACATCTTGCCTACCAGCAAATTCTTGCTTTGTTTGGATCTGCGCCCTTTTTAAAATGTCGTTAACTTGTCCCTAAAAGATAGTAGTTCAATTAAACTAAACAAGTTTTATTAACTATTTGATTCCTTATATCTAATCCATTTTTATTAAAAACAACAGGATTTAAAGGAATAATACTATAACCATTTTTTTAAATAACCATTTTTTTTTTAAATTTTAATGTGGGTTAAGTTACCTTTCTACCATTTACATATACTCTATAGCAAGACTGCCCAAACCCAGGCCCGCGATCCACAAGGTGGCCCGCCAAGGCATTTAAATTGGCCCGCCAACAGCAGCGGTAGGCTGCCGCCACGTGATTAATTTTAAAATGCAACAGTCATTGCAAGTCATAAAATCGAGTATTAATAACAATTGTTTCTGTTTTTAAGTTTTCATCATACTTACTTATCCAGAACTGTATTTACAACAAGGTCGCAAATTAATTTATTTAAATTAGATGTGTTTTGACCAAATATTTGGCACACATTTTAAAGTTTTTTCTTTTTTAATAATATTTTTCTACTTATTAATACGCCCTTTTTTGAGTTCGTTAATAATATCAGACGTACGACATTATTATAATTATTAAAACAAATCACTGAAGCCCATATATCTTTAATCCACTATAGAAGCAGTCGCCAAAAAATATAATATATAACGCATTTTTAACAAAATCATTTTAACATCAACCAAGATTACCCAGGGGGAGGAGCTCTTGGAGCTGAGTTTATAAAGAAAAATAAAAAAGAAATATATGGCCAGCATAATATATTTGTACAAAAAAAATACCGAACTCGAACATCATACGAGATTCCTGACATTCCCGGCATGCGGGCTACATATCCACCAGTGGCGGCTGGTGGATTTTGGCACACCCATATCTCAGTTATTAGACATGGGACCCACATCAAATTTATATGAGTTTATAATGACATTATATAGACAAGTTCTGCGCAAGCAGAATTTAAATTAAAGTTTGCGAAAAAAAGTTAGTTTTTAAGTGCAACCCCCAGCCTCCTGCCCCTCCAAATTAAGATAATTCAAATTAAAGTGGTACAATATTTAATTCACTGAAGTTAATCGACAAATTTCAAATTTTATTAAAAAAATTCAAGTATTACAGATTTTATATAATTTCAAATTTTTTAAAATTTAGTAAAAGAAATAATAAAAATTATAAATGGTATAAAACCTGTAATTCTTGAATTTTTTTAATAAAATTTGAAATTAGTCGATAAACTTCAGTGAATGTACCACTTTAATTTGAATTATCTTAATTTGGAGGGGCAGGAGGCTGGGGGTTGCACTTAATAACTAACTTTTTTTCGCAAACTTTAATTTAAATTCTGCTTGCGCAGAACTTGTCTATATAATGTGATTATAAACTCATATAAATTTGATGTGGGTCCCATGTCTAATAACTGAGATATGGGTGTGCCAAAATCCACCAGCCGCCACTGGTGGATATGTAGCCCGCATGCCGGGAATGTCAGGAATCTCGTATGATGTTCGAGTTCGGTATTTTTTTTGTACAAATATATTATGCTGGCCATATATTTCTTTTTTATTTTTCTTTACTTTTACTACCCAGTAAGCACCAAACAGTCGGCCTTCGCTCGACATAGGCGGTTGACAGGCGGTTCGGTTTGCCCCCAGTCGTCCCGCTTATGGCCCGCGTTATGTTAGCCCCGTACTGTTTGGCCATGTTCTAACCCAGAATACAGCATGCCGCTGCAAAATCGTTCGGCTTGCCCTAGCCGGCCCGCTTACGGCCGGAATACGGCCTGCCGCGGCATAAGCAATACATCTCACGGCTGCTTACGCAAGCGAGCTAACTATAAATAGCGATGGGTTGCAATATTTAGTTGGAAGTGTGCGTATGTAATGGCATTTTGAGTCTGTAATGGCATAGCTGAACATTAATTGTTTGAAGTCCCCATATCCATCCTCATTTGCTCAGTAGCGAATAATGGCTATAACACACTCGACTATAGCTATAGCTATATAGGATATACCTTAGGGTGAGCCAAAAAAACTAACCTATCGGATTTATGGGTTAAAATGAACCTACATACCGAGCAAAAAATTTCCCTGCTCAATTTTAAAAGGTGTCGGTGAGTTTTCCATTGAAATAACACGTAAAAAAATCTTTTTTCATTAAAAAGACTATAACTTTTGAACCGTTTGAGATAAAATTTTTTACTTCGCGGATTCTTGTAGAGCATAAAATTTTCCAAAGAATCTATAGTGATGAAAAAACGGCTCCCAATCCGGAACGTCCCAAATCGTTCCGTTCCTAAAAAATCACGTACCAAAATCACGTGATTTCGGAACGTAGGGTAAATGATTTCACAATACATGCGAGTGGAATCCACGACACGACGTTGCTGGTCTGCATTTTGTCTGGCGGGCCTCTTAGTTCTGTTGACCGCACCATAACAAATTTAATACCAAAATTAAATATTCATACACTATCAATACTATTGCACAATATGTTGTATAAAGCAATTTATAGTTAACAGTGTGTTGACAATATTGCCTAATTTATTTATATTGTCTGATTGTCAATAATCAATTTTTTGTGCAGTAATATTGAGCAAATATTTCTTTAAACGTCTAGGGACCCCTTTAATACACAAAAAACTGTTGATTCCTTGAATATTTTGTCTATCTCTAATAAAGATTCTCTATTCAGAAAAAACCTTCTTAGTAACTTTTGGTATTATAGTTTAATAATTGTACAATATTAGGTATATTAGATTCCATCTACCCTACCTAACAAACTTAATTTTTTATGCATCGTTCCAGCGGAGGATTCCACCCGCCCAGCTCAAGTCGGGGCGCCGCGAAAGTCGAACAAGAAACGAAACAAGGTAACTGCGCCTTTAAACAGTTCCGACGTTAGCGACGTTCGTTCTGTCCATGTTCCACGTCGTTCCCTTCCCACTCGCTCCGTTCACTCATTCGATGGTCGGATTCTCTGTTTCTATTCAGTTCGATCCGCTGTCACATCGTTCCGATATATTTAGGAATGTTCCGGAACGTGATTTAAAAATAACGTTCCAAAATCACGACCCATCACTAGTCTTCTTTTTATTGTGTATATTTTATATTGAAATAAGTTGTATTTGATTTGACTCTTTTTCAGATGGGGAAATTGTAAAAATGGCTTTGTCGATTTTTGCACAAAACTGCAATGATAAAGATGTAAAGATAACTAAAGTATACCGTAAACCGTATACCGTAAACCGTATACCGTAGTATGTAAAGATAACTAAAGTATACGTATACGGTACCGTATTTCACTTTCAAGAAACACTGTGACAAGACTAGAGATGTGACATGAAAAAAACGGCCTTTTTTTGTTTTTTTTGTTCAGGTTCTTAATCATTGTTTTTTTTTCAAATGTTTTTTTCATATTTTAGGTGTTTTTTCAAGATTAGTCCCATTTGCCCAAGTTTTTATGTTTCCAGTCCAGTTCATATACTAAAATTTAGCCACTAAATGACATTTAGTAAATGTAAATACAGTCTCGCGCTATGCACGCGCCACCACTGCCGAATTGACCAATAAGGGCCGCGCTTGTTTTGATTTGGTCCTAAAAAAGTATCTACCTATAATATTTTTGTATCAGCGTTTGATTTTCCAAAAAGCTACCAAAAGCCCTTTTTCCATGATTTTTTAAATTCATGTAGAGTATGGAGTTAAACAAAAACAATAGCAAATTCTTGTAGAACATTGGTGGTTAATAAATTGAATTTTTTTTATTAAGGTACCTATTTGTTTGGTTTGAGCGTTGCAGATTGCTTTGAAAATTTTTTCATCTAAAAATCTCAAAACTAGAAACTTCAAGCTTCAAATTGCTTTTTTTAGGGCTCCATTACGACCATTTTTAACGAAGATACAGCTATCCGAAAAATCGAAAAAAAATTTGAATTTTTTTATCCTTTATTTTTTTTCATTTGTGTAGAACTTTTACATTGTTATTGGTTTCTTATGTGGAAATATTTCCCACAAGGTAAGGCTTGCTTTTTCTTTGTTTATCTCTTAGTTTGATGCACATTGTTTCTATGTTTTTAATGTTTGATTCTGATTCTTTAAATCTTTGGGAATATTAATAATCTCATAAAGGTGGGTGTTTCTTGGGTTTTTGTAATTGTTCTTATTGCTGCTGTTTCTGCAACTTCTACTTTTTTAAGGCAGGTTTTGGTGCTGTTTATGAATAAGATACTGCCATATTTCAGGATGGAACAACATATCATTGTATATATTTTTTTGCGGTAAGTTTATCTATGCCTTTTATTTTGGTATGTTAGAGCCCAGGTAGCACACTGACGTTTTCTGCCGTTTATATGACGTATTCTGACGTTTAAATGACGTTAGAAACGTCATTTCAACGTCGGCAGACGTCAGTGTGCTACCTGGGAGATCTAAAGTGAGCCGCTCTGTTAACTGTGTTGGTTTTCATTATGTCACAGTGCGAGTTAAAGTTTAGTTTGCTGTCTATATTAATGCCCATATATTTGGTTGATTGACTTGTTGCGACTTGGTGGTTGTATAAACTGATTTGACAGTTTGGATAAGTTTTATTTCGATGGAATATTATGAGTTGTGATTTGAATATGAAGAGTTTTTTAACTGTTAGGCTGTGAGGCTGTGATATGCAAAACTATTTAAAGAATTATTGTAAATAGAATAGAATAGAAATCTAAATTTTTGTAATTTAGTAATATGTTTTTTTATATTATTTTCTGTTCTAATACTTTGTATTTTGTTACTAGTCCTATATCTAAATATACAAATTGTACTTGATCTTTGGACAATAAAGATATTATTATTATTGTTAGGGTTACGTCTGAGTCTCCATTTGTTGAACCAAAGGCATACTTTGTACCTCAAATTTTGTAGCCGTGCTAAAGCCTCTTTTTTAGTTTTTCCGTGAGCTACTATTGCAGTGTCATCGGCGTATTTTATACATATTTGTCGAAACCGAAATGTTTTGGGTCTTTATTGTATATATCGTGACAGTA